TTCAGCTATTCCATCAATATCTCAAGTATAAGTAATTTTGAATTAATTTTTAATGTGTCTCCAAAACTCTCAGCACACGGGAGTTCTTTCTAAGCTTTCTTTGATTAAATTTTTTTCTGAGCGGGGGCTATGACATGACATGTCATGTCTTGTTTAATAGAGGGGAGGCAAAGGGGGTAGCTGGTACGGTTTTACAAGAAATAAAAAGGGTTTTTTACAATTTACAAGAAAAAAGACGTTTTTACAGTTTACAGTGTTAAAAAATGGAACATTGAATAGTCTGAAGAGCTCTCCGCCATTACTGCCCGTGTGTAGAGACGCATGCGCATATTACCCTTGTAATGCTCTTCATTCAGTTAGAGGGTCTTTTACGTTTTGACATTCAATTTTGTAGTGAACTGTGTCATTTAGTCGTTTTACAGTTTCTAAAATGTAATTTCCCTGGATTATTTTTACGATTTTTTTATTTGGATGTCAATTCTTGTACGTACCGAGAAAAATGACACATTTTTTACAGTGTCCGAAAAAAATATTTGATTGATTACGTTGTACGTCTAGTCTGTGATTACAGAATTACGGGATTTATTTTTTCTATTTACGTTGTACAAACAATAAAATATTGCAATTACGTTGAACGAAAATAACCCTTGCCCTCCCCCCTTAATAATCATGTCATATGTAAAACGCAGGAGACATTTTAGTTTGCCTGTTTCTTGTTTACCGACTTTTTGTCTGGAATGCGATACAGACAAGGATTAAACATTACTGATAACAACCAAGAGACTCGAACCAGGAAGGCTTGGATATTTTAAACTTCGTAAATAACACTCTTTTCAAGCGTAGACTTTATTCGAGTGTAATAAACGTAAGTGAAATGTATTTTAACAAGTCATAATACGCAACAACAATTCGTATACAGCATTGGTTTTATTGAAGTTTTAATGCTTTTCGACTTCACAGTGAATTATTTTAGCGTCATATTTAAAATAGCGCGTTCAATACAAGATGTCGGACGGAAAAATTGGGGTCTGTAAAAATTTTGTTGGTTCAGTCAGGCAATGTGTGGACCAAAACACATGGTTTAGGATGGGCGGGGTATCAGCCGAATCCGGTACTACTACAGTTTTGAGTTGTTTGTCCCTTTGTATTATATCTTTGTTGTCATTTGAAAGTCTGTTTCTGCTCTTGGTTTATTTCTCATAGCATTTATTATATTAGATGCAAGTACTTTAGTGCCAATATCATTGAGGTGTACATTGTCCACATGTTTTAAACTGGAGGGGTCGTCATGCAACACATGTTCGAATTTGATGTAAATAAACAATCTGTTGTATTTGCCACTTGGGACTCGAGTTTCAAGGACATGCTCACAGGGACTGTGTCATTTTCAATGACTTGTTAATTGAATTTATTAGACTGAATTATATATCCTTGACATTAAAATAACCATTGTTTGTATAATAGGTTCTTATTGACCTGGATAATGCCCGGATAGATGATGAACCTCACTGGTTTGTTTTAAATAACCATAATGAGAAGATGACATCACCAAACTCAGTAAGAAGAATGAAAAAATCAGCAGTCACCAATTCACCACGACGGCCTATTAACCATCTCAGTGAAAGTGAAGGATCTGATATTGAGTATGATGATGCGATTGGTGTAGTTACAGGTAATGTAATAAGTGTGTGTGTGTGTATCACATGTATCAATAGTGATTGTTCATATTACATACGTTACATATACACATGTATTATGTGTACCGGTATATCAATTTATTAAATAAGGTGAAAATTTATCACAATATTTCAGTCTTCATAGCAAGCTATGTAAATGCATTAATTTATTTCATGGACAAAATCTAGTGGCACATAGTTTGTGTTTTTTATTTAATTTTCTATTTTTTTTTAATATGAATTTGATTGTGATTCTTCATCAATATATCCAGTTAAGTGTGCTAATGGTTTTATAAAATAGATTTGCATATTGTTCAATTTCAGACAAACTTGGTATGCATATTACACTTTGATATTTAGAATATTGCTTTTTTTCATAATTTGCTCCAATTTTTTATTTTTTACTTGCCTGTGGTTAGAGGCTACGTGTGTCATTTGGAGGTACTTCTTTAAGAGACTGTGGTTAATTATAGCATACACACTAACTCTCTTCATTTATGATCCAACCCCTGCCTCTCCCACTTTTGCAAAATATAAGTAACACAGTAATTGAAATTCAATTTCAACCTCTTTCTCTAAACAAAATGAATTGTTTTCTGTGTGTTTTCTTTTCTAAATCCTGATTGTTGAGGTCATAGAATCTCTTCACAGGTTATTGATAATGAAGTCTGCGGTATGATAACCACGCCATGTTTAAAATATACTATCATCTTTAAAACAATATTTATTCATTTCTGTTGATGTATTTTATGTCTGTTTCTGTCCACACATTTATACCATAAATGAATAAATGCAGGTGTTATCTATTTATGAGCCATGACATCATCATTAGTGATGTCATCAATTGTTCATATCAGCCATGACATTATCACCAGTGATGTCATCAATTGTTCATATCAGCCTTGACATTACCATGTTTACCTTTATAGCTGTCAACTTGGTTGCTAACATCTAGCTAACCCATACTTGCAATGCCTGTAGCTAGACCAAAGATGCTGCTGTGTGTGCTTCCAGTCAAGATGTTTTTTTTCACTGATGATATATTGTCGCATCATTTTTTTCTGCATAGGAAACAATTTATTAGCCTAATCATAAATTTAGAGAAAATTGGTCATAAATCACATGACAATGTTCATTGGCTTATTATGTAAAATCATAAGCTATTATCCAATGGCACCGTGTTACAGTGACATATTTTAAGAAACTTGATGTCCTATTATTTTCCAAAAAACGCTATTTTCAGAACAATTCCATATCACATTTTTTGACACTTTTAACCAAGATTTTTAGCTCCCCTGTCGACTTTGTTGAGCGGAGCTTATCATATAAGTGATTGTCTGTCGTCTGTGTCAACTTTGTACTTGTTCGACTATTTCTTGAAAACTGCAATTCTTATTGATTTGATTCTTGTTGTATATGTACCTTGGGCAGATCTCTCTTATATATGTTCATTTCATGATGATATTTTTAATTCTCAACTTTTAATGAATATTTTTGGTAAAAAGTGATATTTTTGGCCTTTTATTGAAAACCTTAAATCTGATTGCTTTGATATTATACATATAGGTACTACAGGTATACCTCCTGTAAAATCCAGTTTTTTTTGGTGCGTCTATCATCATTTCTCAGAGATGCCTTGACCGATTTTGCTGAGACTTGGTACAAAGACAGAGTGACCACTGGAATCAATTAATGAGCTCATTTGCATATTTAATTATTAATTTGAATTCTTGTTAATATCTTGTAAACTAATAGTCCAAATCAGACCAAACTTGGTAGAGACTTGATTTATCAATATAAGATATATACTATGCAATATTAAATTTCAATTTAATTAACGAGCTCATTTGCATATTTAATGAATTTTGAATTTTTGTTGATATCTTGTGAACTAATTGTCCGAATAAGACCAAACTTGGTATAGACTTACTTGATCTGTCAAAATAAAATGTGTGCTATGCAATATTGACTTTCAACTTAATTAATGAGCTAACTTGAATATTTAATTAATTTTGAATTTTTTTTAATATCTTGTGAACTAATGGTTCATGTATTTGCTATTTAATATTGACTCAATTGAATTCCCAAATTCAATTGATTGTGAAAATTTGTTAAAATTGATGCAAATTTTACCAAATTTAATAGATATGTCCTCGCTGTTAACTTTGAGAAACATACTTTTGATTTTCAACTTAATCTTCCTCCCCGATTTATACATTCAAACTTTATAATTCATAGCCAACTATAATCACTTCTGGCAAGTGTGGGCTGTGTCATCTTCAGATGACGTGTTGGAAAATTAATATATTCTGAGTATTTTCCTTCCTGAGTAGGCTACTATACCTTGAATTGTTAAATGATGATTTCATGTTATTTTTGATATATCCAGACATCATTGTGTGACTGAGGCTTCTATCAACTTAAACTTACTACACGTCCATAGGAGCTTGATTATCTAATCAGCCATTATTTCATTATATTGACTCTGCATAGATTATGTCAGTCAAAAACAGTCCAGCAGACACTGAACTGTAATAAAAGATAAATATATCCTGCCCCTACTAATCAATGTTAGTGTAGTTTGAAGAAAGATATGCCTACAATTTTTTTCAGAAGTTATGTTTGAGGAAATATTGTGCATGCTGGTTGTTTGGATAGCAGGTACTGAAATCCTTGAGCTTATTAGCTATGAAAATGTTACAAAACCAACATGCAATTACATAGTCATATTTTCACTAGTGTAATACACACATAAGATTGTAATAGGTTATTAACACACCATATATCAAAGGGTTATTGTTCACTGAATAAGCTTTCATTGCTGTTGTCTACTTTCATTCTACTGAAACATAGCTTGTTTTAAAAAATGTATAAAAAAATGTATGTTGCCGATGATTTGTAGCAGCATTATAACAGCAGTGACTTGTATGTATGATAAGTTATCGTATTAATGCTTTCTGAATACTATCTGTTAAAAATATGAAATTGATTGATGTTGCATGCACAGGATATATTACATCCATATGTTAAAGAGTATTTCACATAAGATCACTGCGATATGATCACTGCCATTGGTTGATACGGTCACTGTCATTGGTTGATACGGTCACTGCCATTGGTTGATACGGTCACTGCCATTGGTCGATATAATCACTGTGCAGTATGTATCTGTACCTTATTATTATTGCAATGTAAACAAAGAAAAGTGTTTGACGTGACTGGTTAAAGTGTATTTTAATTTCACCTGTACAGGAAAGGAAATTACAAGTACTTTTACAGTATTTATTCACTCTTTTATATCTCAAAAAATTGTATTTATCGTGTGCTTGATCATTAAAATATGACTTATTTTAGTTTACTCTATTTCTGGTTTTATCATAGTCATTAATATGCGTTTTCTGTGTGCTATTTTGGTATATTCTACAACAACACAGCAAATGTCACAGTTATTAATAGATAATTGCCTATCACAATGTAGAGTACCGGTATGTTAATTAATTGACTGATGTTATAATATTTAGCAATTATAATATGGTTGGAAACATGTTATGGGCAATTTGATGGCTTGCTTCCTATTTGCTATCTGGCTATGGTAAAATGTGCTTAGAGTTTATCAAATTTAGAAATACATTTGGTAAGTGACAATTCTGATTGTGTATAAAAGCTACCAGGCAGCTGTTTCTGTGTCATTTCAGTGTGATGTTATGTTTAACAGACGTGTCGTTTAATAGACATTGTTTTAGCTGAAGGCAGCCATTTAAATGTTTAAAATGCATTACCGGTAACCTTGATGTTGATGTGCATCATTTTGTGGGATGACTTCCTTCCAACCAAACCCTTACTCTCTAACCCTAAGTCCCCCTATGTGTTTGTACACATGCCTCTTTAGATACAAGTAAGTGTCCTCGGGAGGGGCATATACTACTGTAAAATACTTTATTTTAGCTGGAAATAATTTTCGCTTAAAAGACATTTTTAGTGCTTTGTATGGAATTTATTTTCACTGATTTTTGACAAGTTGAATGTAAAATATTCACTGGATTTTATTCGTCCCTGTTCGGACGAAGTCCGAAAACGGGGCCTTATAATTCGGTCTCCGTCCGTCCGTGTGTCCGTGTGTTCGTCCGGAGTCATATCTCAGAATCCCTTGGACCGATTCTATTCATTCTTTGCATGTGCCTCGTACTTTATGTGGGACATGTGCACATGCAGTGGTTTAGCGATTTGATTCAAAATGGCCGACTGGCAGCCAACTTGTTTTTTTTGAAAATGTTGTATTTTGGACATGCTTTGTCAGTTTTCATTCAAACTTGGTACATAGATTATACATGTTATGATACATGTCCATGATGATTTATTTCACAATTGGATCAAAGATGGCCGACTGGCAGCCATCTTGTTTTTTGAAAATGTAATATTTTGGACATGCTTTGTCAGTTTTCATTCAAATTTAGTACATAGATCATACATGTTAGGATACATGTCCCCGACCGTCCGTGAGTTCCTGAGTCTGTCCGTCCGTCCGACCGTCCGTGTGTCTGTCTGTCTGTCTGTCTGTGCGTCAGTCTGTCCGTCATATTTTAGAATCCTGTGAACCGATTCTGTTCATTCTTTGCATGTGCCTAGTACCTTATGTGGGACATATGCACATGCAGGAGTTTAGCGATTCGATTCAAAATGGCTGACTGGCAGCCATCTTGTTTTTTGAAAATGTTGTATTTTGGACATGCTTTGTCAGTTGTCATTCAAACTTGGTACATAGATTATACATGTTAGGATACATGTCCATGACGATTTATTTCACAATTGGATCAAAGATGGTCGACTGGCAGGCATCTTGTTTTTGTTTTTTTATGTGGTATCTTGGACGTGCTCTGTCAGTTTTCATTCAAATCAAATTTGGCACATACATGTACTTTATACATGTTAGGATGCATGTCCATGACGATTTGTTTCAAAATCTGGTCAAGGATGGCCGATTGACAGCCATCTGACTTTTTGGCCTTACTACTATATTTCCACAATTTATGTACCATTTTCATTCGTATTTGGCACATCATACATATCAGTGTGTTTCATGATCAGATCAAAGATGGCCGAATAACGACTGTTTTTATTTTGGCCATATTACTATGACACGAAACGCGTATTTTGATGTAAATAAACAATCTGTTGTATACGCCACTTGGAACTCAAGTTTCAAGGACACACTCGTGACAACCCCTCCGCTTTAATATGACGAGCACAAAGAGAACTTAATGGGGACTGTGTCATTTTCAATGACTTGTTTTCTCTGAATCATTCCTTTAGCGAAAATAGCTAAATTTATTCCAAGCGAAAATAAAGTATTTTACAGTATTTTAATCCTATGTGCTAAAGCTATGTTATAAATTTTGGTCTTGAACCAAATTTGTCTGAAGTTGGTACTAAGACAAGACATATTGATACACATTATTTACTTCTACTTGCTTTTTGCTTTGATTACACTTAAATGACCATTATTGTGCCAAAATACATTTTAACATTTTTCTCAGTCGTGTTATTACTATTATAATAGCTTACTGAAGCATGTCAGTTTTGATGATTTTATTCAAAATTGCCAGCTGGTGCCCATGTCAGTTTTATTTTTACACGTCCTTAGCCATTTCTTAGGTATGCCTTAAACATATTTTGTTAAATGTAAAATTTTTATTTGGCCAAATACAAACTTAGTACTACCGATTTGAACTTATCATAAATTACTAATCACCTTTTCATAGATAGTTTATGATAGGTGCTTCTGTAGATATTATGAATTGATATTGTACCCAACTAAAATAGGTTTTGTGCATAGCCTTCAAAATAGTTCATACATCCTCACTGAGAATACAAGTTAAAAATCAATGGAATTATAAATTATTTTCCCCCAAAGCTAATATTGACATATTTAATTTATTGCCAATGTCTAAAATATCTCCATAAATTACTATGCACATAAGGCCCGTATTCCTGGCATGCTATGTTTCAACATCATGTATACAATTGTATTTTAGGTTCTGCTGTTGTAGGGGTTGGAGACGGAGCTAGTGTGTCATCATATGGTAGCAGCTGTAGTCCTCCACTTGGTAATGATACTAGTCGACTTGGTAACGATACAGTTCCTGTAGAACAGCTTAGACATCAAAGATTAGAGTTTGAAAATGATAGAAGGTTATCCGAACGGCATTCACCATCACCACGAAGACGTTCAGGCACAGGTAAAGGCAGTGCATATATTATGGTATTAACCAAGTATGGTACGCCCTCTATACAGGAACTTTGGCTTAGTACAATACTACAGACGAAAATTGGTGTTAAAATTATTATCAGCCAGAAAATAAAAAGCAGTAGTGTTTGTTGTTCAGACTTGTATCTTTAGAATATGTCTAATGCCTTTGTGATGATGTTAAGGTGACACCGACCTGCACGCTTTTTTGAAATGTTCAACCCGCTCTTCATACTTTACATACACTTTGTTGCGTATAAATATGACATTAACATGGACATATACAAAACTTATTAGTCCCTGTTCAGATGCAGTCCCAAAACAGGGACTAATAAGTTTTGTATCTTGTTTTGTGGCTGTTTAAAGATGGATTTTGTGAAACTTTGTACATAAATTAGACACAAGTCCCTGATGTCATATTATTTTTTAGATCATATTCAAAATGACTGACTGGCTGCCATTTTGTTTTAATTAATGCAGTTCTAGAGCCATATCTCTCAGTATGGACAATTACTCGTTTGACGATCAGATACAAGATGTCAATCATTTTAATGTTAAAAAAATCATTATAGTCAAGCATCAGCTTCTGGATCCATATCTCTGACAAGTTTATTTTCCAATTACTGTAAAATACTTTATTTTTGCTTGGAATTAATTTTCGCTGAAGGAATGATTCAGTGAAAATGAAATCCAGTAATTATGTACCTTTTTTCCTATATTTTATATTACACACTACATTACAAATCAGTGATAATGAATTCCATACAAAATGTCCCAAAAGTCTTTTCAGTGAAATTTAATTCTAGCTTAAATAAAGTTTTTACAGTACATTACTATAAACAAAACTATATATCTTAAGTTTGATAACTAACAGGGACTGATCCATGCATGGTTTGTTTAAAATAAAAATAGTAATCATGTATTTATTTCGAACAAAATATTCAAAAAATTTCTAAATCCCCCCGCCAAACAACATATTACATTCATATCTTCATGCCCATGATTTAAACAAGTAAAATTTTCATTTTTGTGGCTGTATATTTGATATGCGAGTGTGTTAATAACATTTGTTGTCTTCATATCCTGCTGTGTAATAACTCCATGTATTCAAAGTATCCATTCTTGTGGTGTTGAATTTAGTGCACTTAACAACTACACTGGATATTCAAATGTCTAGAGTTTGGTTTACAAGTTAGGAGATCAAGTATTGTTGAATGGTCTAAAAATACAATTAAATTCATGACTCAACAGTTGTTACCTATTGTTCTTGACCAGCATACATAACAGTAATCTACCCTCAGAGTAAAGTTGGTGACAGTGGTGGCGAGCATACAAAGAAAGCTGCATGGTAACATGGGCCAGCATGCAGTTACATTTATTTGAGTTCCAGTGGCATTTATGAAATCTGTGTAGTTCAATTCATGGCTGTATTTGTTGCACACATATGAGGTTTTGAATATTTTGTGACTTAATTGATAATTAATGAAACATTCAGTTATAGCCCCTCCAAGAGAAGAACTTCACTCAGATCGGGTTCCAGCACAATCATTGACTGTTCCTGATCAAGTACCAAGACATCGTCCTCGGTCACCATCTCCAAGTCGTAGACAGCGAGTACCTCCTGGGGGGTATGAAATTCAGCGATCACGATCACCCACACGGAGATCAGACGTGGAGAGGGCAAGGTCACCTGCACGCAGGTCAGACATACCAAGACCTGAAAATCATAGGAGAAGTCAATCAGAAATAAGAGGAGAGCGTGACAGAGAGCGTGAATATTTAGCTATGATTGGTAGAATATCGCCAACAGATATGAGGTCACCCGTTACAAGTTTACCAAATTCACCAAATAGACATGCTATGCATTCACCAGTTAGATCATCACCATCCTCAACACCATCCACTCCAAGAAAACATCGACAGCTACCACAACTACCTACACAGCAAGGAAAACAAGATGGAGGTATACATTTTCTTGACTACTTGACTAATACACCCTTAATAATTGCAATACGACTTGTCTATCTCCTAACTATCTTTATAGTAAGGTTGTGACCATTACCAATCTTGATGTCATCAATTACTTATCTTGTGGTATTAAGTGATTTCATCAGTGTCTACTCATTGTACAATGACAAACAAGATTACACCTGTCAGCCAAATTAAATTTAATTTATATAAAAAAAATTATTATTGAAATTGGAGAAAAATACCATAATAATAGTAAAATTAAATATACAAAATATTTAACTGAATTTTATTGTGATTTAGCTCAAGCAGAATTAGAAGAGCGTGCACGGCAGATGAGACTAAAGATGAAAATGAACCAGTACAAACAAGCAGCGTCAAATACCCTCTCCCCCAATCCAGGAATGGTATCTGATATTCAAAAATCACGGAATAGAAAACAAAGTCCTGACAACATCTCACTCAAGTCCAGTGATAGTAATATGTCTAGTATGAGTGATGTATCCGTGGTAACACAGGCCAGTGAGACATCTCGGATTAGTACCATATCAACTCAGTCTCAAGTTATGACAGGACACAGAAAATTCAGGTAATTTAAACTGTTCATTTCTTTATGATCATAATAAGATTCTTCTTCTTCACCACTTTGCTACCTGCAATATTTCTTACTTGTGACTCTGTACTCAGTATGTCCGTGTGGTGATATGCCAGGTAGTCAGTATGTCCGTGTGGTGATATGCCAGGTAGTCAGTATGTCCATGTGGTGATGTGCCAGGTAGTCAGTATGTCCATGTGGTGATGTACAAGGTAGTCAGTATGTCCATGTGGTGATATGCCAGGTACTCAGTATGTCCATGTGGTGATATGCCAGGTAGTCAATATGGCCATGTGGTGATGTGCCAGGTAGTCAGTATGTCCATGTGGTGATGTGCCAGGTAGTCAGTATGTCCATGTGGTGATATGCCAGGTAGTCAGTATGGCCATGTGGTGATATGCAAGGTAGTCAGTATGTCCATGTGGTGATATGCCAGGTAGTCAGTATGGCCATGTGGTGATGTGCCAGGTAGTTAGTATGTCCATGTGGTGATGTACAAGGTAGTTAGTATGTCCATGTGGTGATGTACAAGGTAGTTAGTATGTCCATGTGGTGATATGCCAGGTACTCAGTATGTCCATGTGGTGATATGCCAGGTAGTCAATATGGCCATGTGGTGATGTGCCAGGTAGTCAGTATGTCCATGTGGTGATGTGCAAGGTAGTCAGTATGTCCATGTGGTGATATGCCAGGTAGTCAGTATGTCCATGTGGTGATATGCAAGGTAGTCAGTATGTCCATGTGGTGATATGCAAGGTAGTCAATATGGCCATGTGGTGATGTGCCAGGTAGTCAGTATGTCCATGTGGTGATATGCCAGGTAGTCAATATGGCCATGTGGTGATGTGCCCAGTGTTCGAAATTAACTGAAAATCATTACAGGCCCGAAGGACCTATGTCAAATTAAAACTGTAGGCCCTGATATTTAACAAACAAAGACTAAACAGATAATACAAGCTTGCAATTGCAAAACCTTTATTTACTAATAAATCAGATATATTATCTGTAGCCTCAAAGAGGTCATCATCATGTCTTTCATCGTCACTAAACTCATCAAAATCTTCAGAAAAAACATGATCACTAGCCGACTCTGAATCCGACATGTACTTTGCATCGTGTTCACAATCTTACTAACCGACAGCTGACCGTAGGATCCTCGACAAGGCCGGCAATACATCGCCTTGTTGTTATATCAAAAAGTAACCAGTCTTTGAACTCCGCCTGCCAGCTAAATTGGAATGTACGTGTTTTACGCCTAGACCGTTCGAATTCTTGCTGTTTGTCATGCCTTCCTTGTATAGTTTCACGCGTTTAGCAGCAGGCTCCTGGCAGTTTAAATATCGCCACATACTTCGATGTAGACGTAACTCTGCAACTGTTAATACCAGCGTGTTCGATGCAAATCAAAGATAGCGGAACATAAAATGTAAGCGCGAATTCTATTTGTTTGAATCGGAGGCTTGATCGGCCTACAACCAATCAGATCGTTTGTTACAGTTTCCACGTTCGGCGCATTTCGCGATCATTCGGCAAGCTTGAATTATGACTCGTATGCCTAGGTCGATGAGTGATGCCATTTGTTGATCAAACGTGCAAGAAAACGCAATTTTGAAACAATTCTGGAGTTACCGGTACTATCGATATTTATTATATATTTGGTCTTACAATCATACTAAATAATGGAACGTTTTTTTTTAAATATAAATTTATGGTCGGTCACAAGGACTGATGGTCTTTCACAGCTCTAGGCCCTTTACACCCGCTGTCGGCGTGAGGCCGACGGACCGACGTTAATTTCGAACACTGGTACTACTGCAGGATGTGGGTGTCAGAAGTAATACTGGTACCACTGCAGGATGTGGATAAATAACATTAATCCTCGCCTTTGGCTTGTATTGATACACGTGTGCGTGCATGTGTAAAATGCCTGGACCAATCACAATCAAACTTCACACATAGATCATACATGATATTATACATATGCAAGTCAATTTGTTTCTTGATCTGATTCAAGATTTGTGTGCTAAAAATCATCAAAATCAAGCATTTCTTGGCTGTTTACAGATGGATTTTGCTCAAACTTGGTATATACATTAGACATTGTATGACCTTGATGCACATCATTTTGTTTTACGATCTGATTCAAGATGGCCGAATGGCGGCCATTTTTGTGCTAAAAAATCCTAAAAATCAAGCATTTCTCAGCTGTTTACAGATGGATTTTGTTCAAACTTGGTATATACATTAGACATTATGGGACCTTGATGCAAATATTTTGTTTTTCAGATAAGATTAAAAATGGTCGACTGGCGGCCATTTTGTTTTAATGAATGTGGTTCTTGTGCCATATCTCTGACTTACTTTCACTGATTATGTTCAAATTTTAAATATTCATTATACATCATGTCATAGATAGACAGATATATTGGTTTGACGATACTATTCAAAATGGCCAAATGATGGCCATTTTTGTGCTTAAAAATCATCAAATATCAAGCATTTATGGATGGATTTTGTTCAAACTTGGT